GGAAGGTGTCCTTCTTCCTGAATAGCACCCAGCGGCTCGACATGGGGCGATCGTCCGCTCCGCTGTCCTCCATCTTCTCTACATGTCTGTGTTTGTTGTAGGTGATCGATGAGACCCTGGACGTGAAGGAAATGATCTTCAATGCTGAGCGGGTCAGCGGATTGGCAGATGAACAGGTATGTACCAATGACCCGTTTCCTCCCTCAGACAGATGCAGCGTCACCGGGCTGTGGCATACATATACCAGAGTGCAGATAGATGGTGGGGAGAGCCCTACAGAGCAGTAACGGGGGGTCAGCTTAATATAGGGGGCGCCAAGTGTGCCCAGGTTCTCCCCATTAATAGACACGTGACATCAGTGGCGTCACAAGGGGGGTGCGGCCCGCACCCGGGTGACACCATTGGAGGGGTGACGCCAAAATGACTGTCATTTTGGTGTCACCCCCCCTCTGAAAAGTCGGGCGCTCGGTAATGGAGATAGGAGGGGACCCGGCAGCATACCTCATCCCGCCGGGTGACTGTCCCCTCTCTCTGCCGGAGTCCATCACCAAGATGGCCGCCGGCAGGTATCAGGTACTGCACGCGCAGTGACGTCTCGGCTGGGTGACTCGGTTACCGCTCCGGGTGTCACCGGTTCGGGACGGCCCTGCGTGGCATACACCAGAGTCAGCCGCGAGGTACTGCAACACTTGTCTCTTCAGAGGAATGAGAAGAATCGAATCATTTAGGGAGCTCGCTGGGTCTGGTGAAGCAACGCTCCCTACCAATGGGTACCCAGAATGTGATTGGGGTGTAAGAATACCACAGGAGTGCCAAAGCGGTCCGAGTCCAATTCATGGTTCACAGTACGATCCCATAAAACAGCCGACCCGTTTCGGGGGCCCGGCCGCCATGTTTTTGTTCTGCGCTGTAATACGGATTATTTCTCCCGCAGGAGCCGGAGAGTCTGCGTAACCAGTTCAGCTTCAACAGCAGCACTCTGATTGGCCTCCTGGTCATCGCCGTGGCCATCGCCACCATCATCGTCATCAGCCTGGTCCTGCTGAGGAAGAGACAATACGGCACCATCAGCCACGGCATTGTGGAGGTGAGATCACGTGACCACAGACCTCCCCGTGCTGCTGTCATTGTATATGGCGGGGACTGAAGATCGAGTCATGTGATTTTATGTGGGTGGCGTCTTGTAGTCAGGTGATGTAGGTGGGCTGAAGCTCATCACTGACTACATACAACCTGATTGGGGGATATGCAGAAGCTCCGCCCCCAGGTTAGTGTGCAGTGACGTTCTTCTGTTTATTTTGGTCTAAAAACGCACGTGTGGGATGCAAGCCGTCCCCTTTAGATGGACATAGTCACTGACCAATAGTGCAAAGGGGCGGGGCCAGATTCTCAACCATGACCTGTCCTGTGATGCATAGCCACTGCTTCCATCGAGGCTGAGGGCTCTTGAGAGGAGTACTGGGGCAGGGTGCTGTGATGTTTTCAGGAAGCCATGTACAGCCCCCCTGCCTGTATTGGATAGAGAAGCACAGAGACCCAGTGATGACATCACCGGGTATAAAACAAGGCAAATGGATTTATTTAAAATGTCCATTAGCGTATTGATGAGGGGGAGGGGGGATCGGAGAAGGCCAATCATTGGGATTTAGTGGGGGGCGGAGTTTGTGCCTGAGCTCCGCCCCTCCACCACGGCACAGAAAGCTCCTATTGACGTGTGATCAGATGCTCCTGGTTCCGGCCCGCGCGGCCCTCCTGAACATCTTTTTTTGTGTGTTCTAGGTGGATCCGATGCTGACCCCGGAGGAGCGTCACCTGAACAAGATGCAGAACCACGGCTACGAAAACCCAACGTACAAATATCTGGAGCAAATGCAGATCTGAGGACCACCTGACCTGGGGGAGG